AAAGAAAGAATGGGCATTTGATTGAAACTGGAGGAGAGAAGAAAGCCATAAATCAATCAACAAGACCACCCAACTGATAACTGGTTCAAAGACTGTGAAACTCTCTGAAGATGTAAATACAGGATTTGAAAGAGACATGGAAATAGATGAAATGGAGAAGGTCAGAGTTGGTTCCCAGATGCAGGTATCAGTGTCCACTTACATGCCGATTTATTTCTTTCACAGGGCTCCTGTTGTTTTTTCAGCATGATGAAAATGTTCTGAAAGGAAACGGGAACGACTAAGTTTGTGAAAAGACTTGCACCAAGTAACGTGAGTGTGGCCAACAGGAATTTGTGACTTAAAATGAAGTTTAATATACCTAGTAATTGGTAACTATTATTTTAATACCAAATGATCTTTAAGGGAAAAAAAATGTGTCGTGTGGTACCTAGAATGGTCCTAGTATGAGAAGGAAGCCAACTCAAAATAGTTTATCATGATAAATATCATGGAGAAATAGAGGAAGGAAATACTTAATGAGCGCTTGTGATGTTCCAGACATTGTGCTAGGTGCTTTATTAGAACAAAATATTTCTCAAATTAGAATGTGTACATATTGCATTTTATCATTTTAGTTGGAAAGTTTGATGGAATGATATTAGTTCCTCCTAAGAAGGTTATAGCATAAACAATTGAAAAACAGTTTGGATACAAAAAGTAAATGTTCAGACCCAATTGAAAACGTTCAGGCAAACGATTGTGAATGGTATGTTCTTGATTACCTATACCTTCTACCTCTGTTTATACGTAGCTATATTTGTTGGTGCTTGTGCTTTAGGGTCAGGCCCTATGAGGATGGCAAATTTTGATCTCCCCATTGGTAGAAGTTACTTTCTGACAGGGCCATTGTCCTTCGGGATTGATTGCGTCAAATTCATCACTGCCACTAAAAAATTAACAAAGCAGGTATCTTACAGATTTCAGTTTGAACTAATCATCTCCATATATGAAGGGCAGCATGCAGTTTCACAAATATAAATGAAAGCCAATATTCTCCTTCTTTAAACTTTCTAATTTATCTGAATTATCTTTTTTGAAGTATTCATGATTTGAGGCAAAAAAAAAAAAAAAGGAAGGGCGCCTGGGTGGCTCAGTTGGTTGAGCGACTGCCTTCGGCT